TCCCTACCTGGTGTTTCTTCTCCCACATGTACTGTAACGTCACATATTCTACACATTCAACTGAACAAAGTTTAGATCCAAAAGCTGAGTGGATCCTGTTGATCAAGAAGAAGTGATGGCTGTTGTCCATGGCGTAGAAGTGATTGAAATCCAAGAAGATTACTTCCTTGGGGTGCTGCTCAAGAAAGGTGTTAATCTCCTTCAGCCCATCCCATACTTTGATGCCAAACAAGCCGTGTATGAAGTAAATCTCTTGTCCTATTTCCCCAGGTTTGGAAGATACACGAAGATCAAAGTAGCGGATCCCACCTTCCAACTGCTCTTTGAAAGTCAGATTTTGGGTCACTGACCATTTCTTCATGATCTTTTTAACCAAAGAAATTCTGGCCAAACGTTTGATGGCTGTGGCTTGGTCTGGTCCCACAGGAGATTTCTCATCAACCCAGTAGCTGAAAGAATCATGCGACCCTAGAAACAAAAGCCAGAATATTTAATTTTAGAAAACTGACTCCCCCAAAACACATATACCCATGTGCCCTGTAAACTGAAAAAAGTCCTACATGCATAGCAGGGTCACAGGAGAGTTATGCTCAAGTGTGAGTCTTTCAGCCTATCCTTTACACCTTAGTTCTCCCTAACTGTGCAACAAGAGCTATGCCTAAGGTTCTCGGTTTAAACTGTGTTCTTGTGTGAGCTCCCAATTTCAACGCACCCTGAAAAATCATGACCATAAGACAAACATCAGTGATAAAGGGAAACTTCCTTCTAACCTTCCTTCACTTACAAACTATCCATCTACCTCCAAAGCTTTCCCAGAGCCTGGTACATCACTGATTTGAGATGAGACTTCAGCTTCATTGAGAGAACCTGAGGTTTTATTTTCATTCTACCTGGTAAATCCAATCATGACCTAATACACCACAGTTCTTGGAACAGATATCTTCATTCATGCGATAGACAGAGGGATCTGTACATGCATGTGCCTTACCAGCACATCTTACTTTAGCCCCAAGATGGTAAATTATTAGTAGTTTGAACAGTGGGCAACAACTGGCTGAACTTAAAGGTGGAACAACTGAGTACACCACCAGTTACTGTGCGGTTAGATACCAAGCTCACATTAAACAAGTTCATGAATGTGTCTTTTACCTGGCAGTGCTTTTGAGTGACCACAGGTATGGTGAACATAAAATTCACCAAAAAATATGACTAACAATCAAAATTGCCAGTGCCTGCCAAAATAATGCACATCTGACAAAGCTCCTGTAACACAACTTGTACCTTGGCAGACAGAGGAACTGCATCTCCAGTATAAAATTTGTGCTTACTAGAAAAAAATTCCAACTGAAAAATTCAGTAGTAAATGGAAGCAAAACTGAGAAATAACAAAATTCCTTCAAAATAACAGCTATTCAGAGACAGTGAAATATCCCTAGCTTGGCCAAGTCAGTAAGAGAACAAAGAGTAACAGGGCAGTGTATCTCAGTTTATGCTGTACCAGAGCAGCATAAAGCAAAGATAGGCAGAAGATGATCTACCACAGATTGATGTTTACCAGGGCTTTCTAACCATTTACACCAGGCACCTGCATTCTGGCCAAGAAGCTGCAGTCACTCCAGGCATGACTTCCCTGTAAAGCCCCAGCCAGGAAAAACACTACAGGAGCCCTAACAGCCCTGCTCCCCTTTTTTCTTCAGGACAACAGATGAGAGGTTCCCCATTGAGCCAAACCCCAACCGCTTCCTGCACTTCCACACACTTTGCTGAAGTACAGGGAAAGCATCTTCACCCCCAGTCACCACAAGCAGCTCCTTTTCCAGCTGCCTCAGGGATACGGTGACCCTGCACCACACTGCCAGCATCTGCTTTTTCCCTTCCTGCATGCCCCAGGGCTCTTGTCCCTGCTTCTGGGACTAGACTTTTCCAGAATTTCCTCCTCTACCTCAGTCTGCAACTCTGCTAAAAAAAAAAATCCTCATTTGTCACTTCCAATTTCAATACAACATTTGAGGCATCCACAGCCTCCTTTACCCAACCCTTTTGTTTGTGTACCAGTGCTTACTTGAAGACTGACACATTTCCTGTGATGCAAGGGCAGAGCTATAAACAAGATTATGATCTCAATTGGATTATCTCATCAGGATTTTTTAATCCAGATGGAGGTACAGACTGTGCACAAATCAAGCATCAGTTCACAATAACCTTAAATGTACTCTTTCTCCATGAATTTCAACTAGTTCAAAAGTACTGAAAAGGAACTGTGAAAGTTAGTTTTCAGGCTTTACAAATGAACACTAAAAATTAATTCTAATCAACTCTTCAGGAATTCTTTACAGTCTTTGTAAAAATGTGCCTCTTATGGGGCTTTCCATTCAGCCTTCTAGAAACAAGTGACAAGTAACAAAAAAGCTGTTTTTAAAAGATGTCAGCTTAAGAAGCTATTTAGTACCTGTCACAGTAAACTACATCAAAAAGTAGCTGTCAGTTTTGGAATGACACCTAGATTTTCCCCACCTCCAAGTGGGAAGCCCCAAACAAAATACAGCATCGAACATCTAGTGAAGACACTTCAGAAGCAGCCATAGAAGGCCTGGCTCACATTGCAAGCTGCAACTCAGATGTTTCAGTTTCCTACACCTCCCCATACAGCAGAATGAGCCTTTCAAGCTTCTACAATATTTGGAAAGGAGACTTCAATCGCAAGGGGCTTGTCTTCTGCCTCTGAATGAGTCACTTTGCACAAGGAAGTCATGGGGGTTTTTGTTTTTCTTTGTGTGGGCATCGGTTGGTTTGGTTGGGTATTTAAGTTCTCAATTCTATCCATTTGAATTTCTCCCTCTATTTAGATCACTGTAGAAAATTGTTTAACATGCTAGAATAAGGCCATAAGAAACATTTTCTTCGCATTTTAACTAAGACTGTGCAGCAGCCTCTAGAGAGCTGTCTACAGAAGTCAGCCACACCATTATGCTCCCTCAGACAGTCACTGATAAATCTGACTCACAAAGGAGCGACAACTTAATCTGGCATAAAATACATTGTTGTCAACTCACTTGTCTAAGCAAATCCGAGCCAAGAAACAGCTTGTTTTCCTAAGTCCGATCACATACTTTACAGCTACAAAAGCCTTTCCTTTGCAGATTGCCACATTTAAGGATACAAAGGGTAAATTTCTCCTTGCACTATCACAAACCAAGTTCTATTTTTAGCTCTAGAAAGCAACAAGAAAGAAAACAAGCCACAAGCACATTGCAACTTTTTCAACACATACTTTAAGAACTGCACTCCTTAACAGGGCAGCTATTTGAGAAACTGAACTGTATGTGACATGCTTCTATAGTTAGAGAAGATCCTTAAAACTCCTGCCCTGTGGCTCTGTCTAAAAGCCCAGGAAACTGGACTTCTCATTTACAATGAAGTCGACACGTATACCTAGATATAACCAAGTAGAACATGAGCTGGAGCATCTAAAAAACAAGCTCTCCTTTTCACACTTGGTAGAGGACCACCTCTTGAGAAGGACAGGGAAGCATCATTGATGCCGAGGCTGGAAAAACACAGCAGAAGTTCAATTAGATTTTCCAGTGGTCATTCACAGAAGGCCAGCCACCAACTGGGAGAAATATCTAGGCCAAACCTAGACTCAGAACATTTTTACTCCAGTAAGAGAGAAAAGCAAACTGAAAACCTAAAGCAACAGTAATGGACACTTGTTGGGCTGAAAGGTAAGAGCTAGGTGAGGATCCACATCAACCACCAGGCCCTTCTTTAATTTACGATCACTGTGTTACACTATCAGCTCAGCCACTGGCTTTTAATATAGCTTAGCTGTGATGTTAAGCCACATGCTAAGCTGATTGCATCATGGTGTCAAAATAATCCCTGCTCTCCTTCGCTCTCCCCCTGACCTCCATGCAAGGCCTACCTATTCTGTAGCCATGGCATGATCCAGGCTGGTTGTTGATGCAAGATTTCCTCTGAAAAACTATAATCTAAACCAATCCAAACCTGTATAGTTTCAAAGACACAAGCCTACACCAGATGCTGTAACGTTGTACCATAACAGTAACGGGGCTGGCAGCTGCTGAACAGAGCAAGAATCAAAAAAATCTCACCATGACATACACAGAAAAGTCCTTTCTGTGTATACAAAGTCCTTTATGGTCCATGCTCCCCCCCACCCAAACGGTGTGCGTCTTTCCAAATGATAATCACCACTTTCTCAGGAAAGTTAAGAAAGCTCAGGAAGTCTTGTCAGCAAAACATTGCAGAGGACACCTGACACCTTAAAAAATAAGTAACACCCTGTTATTCAATAAATCCATTCCTTAAACTTGTTGACTGTGAACAAAGTAACCAACATAATTTATAGCTTCCATCTTACAGACTGAGAAATCAAAAGGCACAGAAACGTCAAGAAACTTAGTCTTTGTTGTCCTTCAGGCGAACAGAGGCCAGAAGCCCAGCCTGAACTGCCTTAAGGGCATGTTCTTGCACGTGCAGCACCCGTCTTGAGTCCCTGCACATGAGAACGGATTAGCGTTCAGATTGCAAATCTTACTGAGCTGCTCCAGTGACATAGCATCAATCTGGTGCTCAGCCCTTCCCGAAACCAAGCTAGGCACTGGAAATAAAGAGATGCTGATTTGCCAATTGCTTCAAATAGGCTGAAGATGTATAGCATGAAGCAGCAAGCATTAAATTTAAGCATGAAAGTCTGCACATTCAAAAAAAAATTAGGGGACAGCTAATCAGCTGGCAGCTCTTGCAGAGCGCCAGACAATGGCTGCTCTGTTTTGGCTTCATTTCTTTCATCTGCCAAAGATTGGAAGCTTCAAGGAAAGCAGTCACACCCCATCAGATGCCCAGATATTTAACTATCAAAGGCAACGGTATGGTTAGAGTAGTGTTAAAGAGGTATCTTTCAGACACGAGATTGTTAAGATGATGGATAGTCCTCTTAATTTTATCCTAGCAAGTGCAACTGTGGATTAATTTTTATTCATATCTTTAAACCCCTTTTTATTCTCCTTACACTAATTTCTCAAGTTAATTGTATGTTAAATAGATTGCTTCTCAATTCAATTTGTATGTTAAATAGATTGTATTTCACTGTTCAGGATGACTTTTTTGTTGAAGCCTTTGCGCTAATTGTTAGAAAGCAGCCTTTTATCACCACATCTGCAGCAAACTCTAACTTTCCAGTGTGTCTATTTGTCATGCTACTTAGTCACAGATAGTCAAATTAACCCGTGGTGTAGCTCAAACAAATGCCACTAATCAACAGAATGTTATTAAACCTTGAATTTCAACAATTACTAGCTATACTGCTTTGCATTATCTTTTGTTTCCACATCAGTACTTTCTCCACACACAGCTGCAGCGCAGGGATAGGAATCAGCATTATCTCACCAACCCCGGTGTCCTTTCACAAGCTTGTGAATTTACCTTCGCAGGTTGTTAAAAATATGAAAACATGGCATGCAAAGTGCAGAGATCTTCCAACACAGAACATGCTTGGGCACTGCCAGTTACTTGAAAACAAGATGAGAACTCCTGTTTTTTCAGATACAAGCATGCCTACAGTTCTATCACCAGTCTCCCTGGTTGCAAGGCTGTGACCAGCCAGGAGCAGCAGTCAGAGACACTTTCTGCAAAGATCTGTCTAACCAAGAAACAAGAACGAAAGCAGAAAGGCAGGAGAGTGCACTGTCAGCAAGTTTAACAAGATAGACAAATTTGTTTTGATCTTTACATTAATGGAATATTAACAGGATGAAAAAATGCAAGAAAACCTCTTCTGTTATGTTAAACATTTGTAAGAAGCAAGGTCAACATGCTGTTCCAACCCACTAAAAGCATTAAAGGGTCATTTATGGACACCCTAGCTGTAGGGCTGCCAAACTTCTTAGAGCAAGCTTTGCTCACTACACAAAGTACATTCCCTGTATATTAGGAAACACCACACATGACATAGCACAGCAAGCATTACATAGCCAAGACACCTAAAAGCACAGTACTCAAGTTCCACAAACATAGGATGCAAGTGCTAGCAAGTTAAGGCTGTCCTACAAATGTTCTTTTAAACCAAGTGCCCTGTGTGTGCCAGAACTGAGGGAAAAAACGGGATAAACAGAAGTGCCTCAAAGCCCAGAAGTCCTCAGGATTCATTAACAATCAGGTCATTAACAATCCAGATTTTCTAATCAAAAGATTAACATCTTAAAACCTCTTCACTCATGAAAAGCAAATCGAATCATTCCTATTAACCTGCCCAGCAAAAGGAGGAGAGGCAGGAATAACAAACATCCTACTGATAATTATCTAAAACTATTGAGATTAATATTTACATTCTAATGGAACCCTAAAAGAATCCTTTAGGTATTCTTAATGCAGTCTCATTACAGAGGGCAAAGCCTAGTACAGACCAAATCCTCTTACGAAAACTTCCCCTTCCTATCAAAGAATTATCCCGATTTCCCCCCACTGCCCCTTTCAGGGTGGGGGGGATAAAAGGGGTACAAAGAGAAAGGGAGAGAGGAACTGCTTAAAACTGTCTCGGTCACAATATCACACGGTAGCTTGCTTTTCTTCCCAGCCAGGAGAAATCCATTTGGCACTGGTTGGAGTTACTGCCATTAAGGTTTTTTTGCAATTTAGCAATGACTTCCCATTTATCAGCAGCCTCAGCTGTCTGCACTGGGAAAGCAGAAAGTGGCAGTACTTCTCTACCATTTCAAAGCCTGAATGGATCCACCTCCTCTGAAAAGAAAAAACCTTCAGTTTGAGAGTCCTACATTCCTCTTCTGTGAGCACTCAGAAATGCATGGACCAAGGACTCAAACTCTTTTAAGAAGGCTCTATGGAATTTTTTTCTTGTTTTCATTACACAGTACTTTTCCCTCTTTTTACATCTTTTTGGAAGAGCAGGCAAACTGGAACTTTCAGACAACAGGGAGGGAGAGCAACAACCATTTGTATCAACATTATATTTGGTTTTCTCAGTTTGAAGTAAAACTTAAGCATGTTCTGCACTCATTTACCAGGCAGTGAAGTCACTCTCTAGGGCACACAGATTTTAATACATAAAAAGGAAGAAAGTTTTTCCTGATCAAAAAAAGAATCGCACAGAATTGCACAGAATTGCACAGAATCGCACAGAATTGCACAGAATCGCACAGAATCGCACAGAATCGCACAATTTGGAGCAGAAGACCAACATTTACTACTTTAGAAGGCCAGGGACACATCTCTCCTCAGAGATCAGTGAACAACAAATTAAAGACATTTCAATAACTATTGCAGCTCTCCAACATAGTCTTGTTTTAGCCATATTTGAGCCAACATTATTTTCTCTGTTAAAAAAATGCTTCTGGAACTGCAAAACTCAGCCCTTCCATCAGCTTTAGCTGCCTATAACCCAGCATCCCACAGGCAACTCTCCACCAATTGTCCAGCCTGGTACAAGCAAGAGCAGCACCATGTTGCAACTGCTCTGCATTGCTTAGAAATGAGATCCTGGCCAGCCTTCCACATACCTTCAGAGGATGAGTTAATACATAAGAAAATGACAGAAAAGGCTCTGTGCACCACCAGAAGCCATGACTGAAGAGCTGCCCTACCTCTCCCCAGAGATGTAGGCTGCCCTGCCTGCATGTCCCACACCAGCAGGGCACCCTGCCTAGCATTACATACAGCTCTAGGCAAACCAGTATCTGAAAAAAATTAACCTTTGGCAGCAAAAAAAATCTTTAGTGTTTCAAATCAGACTCAGATATACAAAATTTGACAACACAGAAACATTTATATTTCAATATTAAGAAAACCTTACAATCTAGGACATGAATATTGGTGTTAAATGACTTTTAGTATTACATTTCAAAGTGCTGAACTGAACATTTTACTTTTTCCAATTTTTCTATTTTTTAACTATCTTCTCTAGTGACTCAATTCAAATTGAACTTAGTTCAGATTCAAATTAATTTGTGCCAACTAAGCTTAATTCTTTCCTCAATAGCAGGTTCACTAAAGCTATGTGAAAGAAAATATAATCCCCTATGTTTTGTAAATACAGCCATCCTACCTCTTCTTTCCTGCCCACACCTGCAGCACTGTGACACACCAGGTTAACCGTCATGCTCCCTCAGGACAGCCGCACACTCCAGCACCCATCCTGGAGTTTGGCCAAGCACATGAACAGTTGTTTTGGGAAGCTTTTCTGGCAGGAACCACTTCTCCAAGAAAATCCCCCCAAACAATTATCACAGAAAAACTTTCCATTGGGTTAGGCTTGCCGAATGCACTCCTTTAGAGTTGTAGGACCAAACAAGCACTGATGGAGGGAAATGGGAGTCCTGGTCTTTTTTTTTAGGTGATGGGAGATGGAAGGAATGGAAGAGGGAAGGCAGGGGACAGAGGAGGCATTTGACTAGCTTACTGGTTTTATGAAGTGGCACCCATAACTATTCTGGGTGCTCCTGCAATAAGGAGCTTGCTTACCCTCCCATATACCAGTGGAACCTTACCTAAGTAACCATAAAGTTCCTTTAGAAGATAAAGAAAGAAAATCAGCACTGTGGAAAAACTCACAGCTAACTATCCTGACCAAAATGGGAGACCAATCCAGGAATACAGTTTGATCAAAAACAGTAAGTATGCCTACAAGTTATGTCATGGCTCTTAATTATTCAAAGATGGAACAACCCAGACAAGATTAAGGAAATGCATTATTACCAAGACCCAAAGGAAATCTGAACTGCCTACTCCTCTGCTCATCACATTCATCCAGCACCTTGGAGGTTGGTAATAAAACACTCTATAAGCAAACACTGATAGTTGGCAGTTAACATCTGCTAGATTGCTTTGCTGTCTAAAGACAACTGGTACAGACTTATCCTGATCTCAGAAAGTGGATCTAATTGAATCAGCTGTCCTAATACAAGTATTCATGTAAAAGCTCAATGAAACTGGAAAGCGGTGCTGTATCTTCAGAAGCAGAGAGACTTCTCGGACTCCAGCACCTAGTTAATTGTGATACTGTAAAAATTACTTAGAAAGGCAAGTAGTCAAAACAAAACAGTACAAATTGGACATGCCACAGTGCTATGAATTATGAGCATGCAAGTACAAGCAAGAAACAGGTTAGGCTTCTCCAGCAAATTCATTAAATAGCTGATTTACTTTGAAAGCAGATCAGTGACAGCACTGCAGCTTTTCCTCCTGTTTCATTGCTCAGGGCAGGGGGGAAACAAAACCAACAGATGCACATTAAGAGATAACCAAGGAAAGCAGTAAGTGTCACAGTCATACACAATTTCATAAAATTGTCTGAAGTAAAACAGCTTGAGATTAAACACATACTATCATATACATTACCCTGCCAAGGGTCACACTCACAATCAAAATGTTTGAGAGTTCATTTTTAAACCCACATTCAAAAGAGGATTAGTCTGGAGCATAATCAAGAGAAAATCCTCTAGACTTCCACACAAGGTCACCACTTGAAGATGGTTAATTTTGTTGACTATATTGTATGCATGTAAGCTGATGACATTTTAGTTACTTGATATTTCACAATTTCTCATTGTGAAAGATTCCTTCTCTCATGACATCGCACAGGAAACCTCATTTCTTTTCATTGGACGAGACTATGCTGGTTTAGAATTTAGTCTAGAGTTTTTCTAATAGAAACAACAGAAAAGCCTGAGCTCTGGAACTGATCGCACCCAAGCCTTGGAGGATGATCTCAATTTCAAAGTCTCTCCTCTGTTTTGAGCATAAAAGTTAAAGCAGCATGTAAACACCAAACCGGCATACCTCATGAAACACCCATCTTAAACATTATTTGTTACCAGTTGGTTCTAAAGATTGAGCAAATAATGACTTTCTCTGTCCTCAGGTAGCACGTTTCACACCACATTCAATAGCTCAGGGAATCATACAATAGTGTAAATTCAAAAGGACGACCCCCAGAGGTCACAGCTACCTTTTTTTTTTTAAAGCCAGTGAAAACAAGTAGCTTTAAAAGCACAACTGTTTGCAACAGATAAAGAAGCAGAATTCTATACAGGCATCCTTAGCATCATACATGAGGATTATTACAACTTTCCCGCTTACAATACCATACAACGAATTAAATCTAGGCAGTTTCTTTTCTGTGTATACTATCAATTCTTTCACTTTAAATAGCCCCATCATGCCACCATTTTGTCACTTTTTAAAAAAAAAAACACCAAAACCACAATCTTGTATTCTTAAAGTGCTGCATTTCTCCAAAGTGCAATTAGGTAAAAAAAAAAATCAAAACCACATAACAACAGTTTCAGGTTTTTGTGTGTTGACTTTATTTAAAGTTAAAACAAGTTTTAAGGTTTCAACTGCTCCAGCACCTTCACTAGAATTACATCTCTGCTCCTACCTACAAAGAATGACTGGGAGGCAGGGGAAAACAAAAAACAAAAATCCAAAAAAACCAGTGAAGTCCATCATTCCAGCAGTGAAAACAAATGGATCTGGAGACAGACAAAAGCAGTCGACACCTGTCATATGCATGCACAGGTATTAAGCACAGACAAAAATGCTTCTCCTTTGAGCTGAAGCCTACCTTTCATCTCTTTTGAAGATAGCATTGGCCTTCATTGCTATTCAGCACCTGTAAACAGATGCCTCAACTGCAACCCATTTTGTACAATCCTTTCCTTGCACACTGCTAGTAACATCACCTTGGCTCCCAAAAAGGTTGCTTGGTCAAGCACCACACCAACAATCCACTTCAGCAAAAGAATCACTGGACTAAAATAAAAAAATAAAATTCCCAAAACATCTATCCAAAATGTCTTTTCCCTGCTTGCACATGCAGGAAAGGGGTGGGAAAATACACTAACTTTAACCACAAGTAAACATACACTGCAAGATTTTCAAAAAAACACCACTATTTTAAAAGCACCATGGCATTACTGAAACAACTCATTTCCTTGGTTCCTCTTCTACAAACATCATGCAACCAGTACTGTAAGTGATGGCCTGTGACAATGCATCTAAGGCAATCTAAAATAACATTCTGCAAAGTTTCACAGCCCTTAAGTGCTACAATAACAAAAAGTTGATGTGTTGATTTATTACTGTTCACTAAAACAGAGAATGTTTGCTTTGCCAGAAGTTTCAAAATTTGCAGTTGCTTGAATTTTATATAAACACTGAACTGCCTTTCTGCCCCCCCTTCCCTGTTCAAATGAAGTGGGTAACATAAAATGGTTTTGCTTCGGGGGGGGGGGGGGGGGCGGT